TTCAGCCACCTAGATGTGCACACAGCCACCTGCATTACTTTACAGCCTCCGCTCTGCTTCCTGTTCTCTAACTGTCGAGCTTTGAGCGCCGACATCCTCCACTCACCCTCCTCCCGTGCTGTCCCAGCAGCTCCAAAGAGCAGGGCAAAAAGACACCATTACTGCCACAGAGAGCACAGACAACACAAGCTCCCCAAGAACAGCAGTCATGCACCTGTTAGATATCCTTCCCTTGTTTTTCCCTTTCCATCTTCTTTCACAATCTCCCCGCTGTCCAACCAACCGATCTCGGCAACAGCTTTGACATGATGACCTGAGAAACTTCGGCAAGGCTTCAGGCTGTAATTTGAAGGAGTTTGTGTATATGGGAGTGCACAGGCAGCGGCTCGTGTCAAATAAAGCAGCAGGGGAAGGGTAGGATGGCAAATAAAAATGGCGAACTTGATGAGCAAACCCACTCATGTCCTCCCTAACTCGATTATGAATGCTCGCGCTGCACTCCATCCTGGGAGGAATGGCAGCGCGGTTACTACTTTATTCCCTGTTTGGCGCCAGGGTCAGGGGGAGAAAAAAGATAAGGGAGATGTGGTGAGTGGAAAGAATGTCATGAAATTGCCAAAGGTGCCTGGGAGGCAGGAAGGGATCTACAGGAGGGCAAGGGGGGGGGAACTTCCCCCACTGCAGTGGAGCTTTGCCACACCTCTCCCCTCCCACAAACGTTATATTATAATCAGACTTATAAAAACTAAACTTTGTTTGTCCAGAAGCCTCCTATAGCCTTCAAATTAAATATTAATTCAGCAAAAAAATACATAATTATTGTTAGAATTCCAAACATAGTGGGTGCAATGAACCTCCAGGGTCAAACTGACAGAGGTGGGAAGATAGCCCAAAAAATTAACTTGAGTAAAAAAGTAGCAACACTTTGACATATTTTTACTCAAGTAAAAATTAGCCGTCCAAGAAGCTAAATGTTAGAATGTTAAAAAGAAATCCCTCAAGTAATGAGTAATGGTTCGATCATAACACCTGACTCAATATTTAGAAATGATGTCAGACTGAAAAAAGTAGAAATTTACATAAATTTTGGTATAATTAAAATTTGAAAAATCATTTGAATAAATATATGTATATGTAAGACTTCTAAAAGACTGAGGTTCAATAATTTGTTCTTTTTTTGAGGGTATTATGTTTGTTTTAGTGACAGTGCTTAGAGCTCTTACCACTCCCTCGCTCCTCCCATAATGTAAAAGTTTCTAGATCTGCCACTGCTTGTAGGTAAAAAGTGTGCAATTTCAGGACATTTTACCTCCTGAAATAAAGGGGAGGGCTGAAACTGGGTGGGTCCAGTCATCTCACAGAAGAAAGGCGAAATGTCCTGACTTTGGAGAGACTGGAGGAAAAAAAAAACAAAACAAAAAAAAAAAAAAAAACGTGCAGTCAAGTTGGATGTCGACGAGGGAGAGATGAAAGTGGATTAGCCGCGGCGGCGATTTGCATTCTGTGGTGGAGCAAAAGCCCCAGCGATGCCCCGAATAGCTGGATGCATGAATAAGTAAACAAACAAAAACAAAAATAAACCCTCCATCTGGATGGATGCTGCCAGGCCCCAAGTGTGAAACAGTAGGGAGGGAAGAGTGGGAGACGGGAAGAGGAGGGGAAAGGAAGATACTTGCAACACAGCCGTCGTCACGCTCTTCCCTCCGCTATCATTTACAGCTCCTGCCTTAAGGTCTGTGCAGCTACCATACTGCGATCACCATCCATCCACAGCTCTGGGCTAGTTTGCCCAGTAACAGTACCGGCACACAAGGGAGAGCTCCAACCCAGCACTGACAGATGTTAAGTTGACACACTTTCCCAACGTCACATGGGGTCACAATGCCGGGGTGCCAGGAGGGCCACAGGAAGCTGTCATCGCAGCAGAGAGGGTCACTGGTACCTCTTTTCTATAGGCAAAGTACAGCTAGATTTAGCTCCAATATGGAGGGCCCTGACCTATATTCATTTTCTCTGACCCAGCAGGACCTTCGCTTTAATGGTGTCTCTTTTTATCCAAGCTTTTGCAAAGTGATTGAGCTCTTACGTTCTCGTCTGGGCCGAAGCAGAAAGCAGCGTTTTTAAAAGGACTCCTTTGTGTTCAGCTTTTAGCAGCACTCAAATATGTGCGTTTCAGATACAGTTTTGTTTTTTATTAACTTTAATAACATCTGGAGGTGCTCGTTTTTGACCTTTTCTTTATTATGCCATGAGATACTGACTAAATGCATCTTCCTTAATTCACATTGAAATAATGTACTGTACATTTGGAGCCATCAGAGGGGTTTATGTTTTACCGTAACACTGATATCTGCTGCAGCGTCTCTCCCTAATGCAACCGCAGGGAGCTCCTTAATCCCACACCTTTAATTGCTCTAATGTAATCCTCATCCTTCCTCCTGCTGCTTTGCATTAAATGCTAATAAATGCAAACTACTAAATGATTTTTATGGCAGCAAAAAAAAAAAAAAACTACAGCAAAGGCAGCCAAGGTTTGTGGTTGAGCCACACATTTTTCATATGTTAGTTGCAGGTAGGGTAGGATCCGTATACAGATGTAGATTACATGAAGTCCTCACTGTCATGAAGGTTTAATTGGGTTTTATTTGAGCGAATCTTTTTATTTTAAATCATTTTTACAAACAAGTACTTGTCCATTCATGGTCAAAATGATAAATAGCTGCTTAAATATATGCATATATCCCCAGTAAGAGCTGGATAAATGTCGATTTGGAAGTTGCACCTTGACTGCAAGCCTTTGATAACATTCACTGAGCTTCTACTTGTTGCAGGATATTTGCTTCTCTCCTTGGCAGTATTGGTATTTGTTTGGTTTTCAGGCAACGCTTCTGTGTTGTTTTCCATGTTGACGCTAATTAACCGTTTTTTTGTCATCAGGTTTCAACCCAGCTGATGATATGACGAAACTGAAGAATTTGAAGGTTTACCTTCTAATGCATCCTCACCGCTGGCAGCAAAACAACCCACAGCATGATGCCACTGCCACCATACTTGAAAGTTAGCACATTAGATCTGAGCCTCATCTTGACTCTTTCAGAAATGTGTTTCATTACTGTTGACAAACAGCCGTCTTTGTCCATTTGATCTGTATCAGAGGACTTAATAGTGAAGTTCACATTGTGATCTGGGATGGCTAACAAATAATTTCAGTGAATTAAAAAAATCCCAAACAATCTATCCTGGCTCTCATAGAGCTCCGCTTTTAAACAGTGGCACGTAGCGGATACATAGTTTTGTAATGCAGATCAAGATCGCATCTGAACCAAACCCCACATGGGCTGTTTGCCTGAGCGTAAGGCGGCCCTGTCTGGGGAAGCTAAATGGATTTGACAATGGGATTTGATGGTCTTTGTAGTGAGGGTAATTAGGTTTGATTGACTGTAAAGTGACTGGTGGGGTCCAGATCTGGGAGGGGAAATGATCAGACACTTGAACCACCCACAAATTAATGAGATTCAACTGTGCCTGCGCTTATTGCGCTGAGGAAGAAAAGAGCAGTCGACAGAGTGATGAGAGAGAGGAAGGGATGAGGAAGCATGAGAGTGTGGTGTGAAATTAAGAGATCTATGGAGGAAGAGACAAAATAAAGGGAGCAGAGACATCTGAAACCTGTCTCACTACCTGAACTTAGATGGGTGAAACTTTAAGATGCTAAGTATTATGGTTTTAATGCAAGACATTCTTGAAGAAAAGGTTGCTTCACACGTCGACAGTAGTTTGCTGAGAATAATACATGTCTGGACAGCAGTGGATGACTTTTTTTTTTTTAACTCTGCCAATTTTTGTTTTAGAGAGCACACAGAATATTTACTCCGTTTGTGGAACTTGTTTTTGAATAAATCTAATTTTCTACATGTCTCAGTTCACGCTGCCTGGTCTTGTGGGACTAAGCTGAGATGCAGCCGCCTAGAAGCTCTGTGCCGTCATTGCCTTCGGGCAGATACCGATTCTTTCTGGAGATGGAGCACAATCTAATATGCTGTTATTTATTACGACGAGTGCATGACGGCAGATAATCCTGGCGCCCTTGTTCCCGTCTTTTAAGGTAATTATGGAGTTCAACAATCCATACGAAGCAGTTGCAAAGAATAGCTTGTACTGCTTGCACTCCAAATTGAGGGCAAAGAAAAAGTGGCTTGCTAAAAGTTTGGTGCCACACTGAAGTGACATCAATATGCAGATGAAGTAAAAGATGCTTGTTCTTGTGTGCAACGTGTGTAATAAACTACTGTACCTTGTAAAATTATTCATACACATTGAACTTTGAGTTTTAATGTAACAGGCCGACACAAAATTGAGCATAATTGAAATGATTATGCGCAACTCATTTGATAAAAAATGATTAATGCCCCTTTTACTACTTCACCTCTAAATAAAACAATACAACCAACTGCCTTAAAAGTCACTTTATTGGTAAATATAGTTAGTACTTGTACTAAGAAATCCTTGCCTCAAGTCTTTTTATTCGATTATTTTTATAATATCTTCTCAGTTCCCACTGATGGAAAGTTTTCCCACATGATCATAATAACATCACCACTTTTAACCACAGGAATTATTTATTCAGTGGGTTAAGTTTTTGACCACTTAGGCCAAAAAGTTCAATTTTGATCTCATCTGGTGAAACATTTTCACGTTTCACTTGATGCAGACTTGACTTGTATTTGATACTGCAGTCATTTTGAATTTTATCCAAATTTTGCATCACTCATCTGAGACATGTATCATAATAAGCCAAACAGTAAGTCTAGATGTAAATCAGAAATCTGATTGAGGTTGCATTTAATTATCAAAAAAAATCAACTTTCAGCAAAAAATTCAGAATTAACCATCACCTGCTGTTTGAATAGAGCCTAATTAAGTGATTTTAGGAGGCAACTGTTGCACTGGATTTTTTGTTTGTTTATTGTTTATTTGAATGGGGACAAAAAATTTAGTACGCACAATACTAAACTAATACTTAGCTAATTTGCAATGCATATTCCCAGATGGACTTTTAACCACAGAGATATGAGTAAAGAAGGATTGTAGAATAACACAATGTTAAACCAAATAAAAAAAATAAAAAAAAAATTAAGAGGTTTGTTTACTTTTCCAAGACAGTGCATATAATGAATGCATGGAAGATCGCAATTCCTGGAAGCAGAAATTACACATGGGGGAATAAACATGCAGCAAATAGAGGAGCACTGAAACATACATCACAGTTACATTGTTGAAAGGTCTGCCCTTGTTTTTTACGTTCCATCTCAAACACGAAGGTCGGCTTCGGCTACAATATCCGCTTTCAAGCTAAGCTGAGGCAAAGCGAGAAGCTCAACATTTTTTTATCTGCTTGTGTCTCTGACCTTCACGTCTCTAAAGCTATCTACCCCGGTAATATTATTTGCAACGTCTGCCGAGCTGTGGGGACACTATGCAAACTTGGAGAGGCAACCTGTCCACCCTGCCGTGGCATGTCAGCTCTCGTCTATGATCACCTGGCTGGCATGGCTGCAACGCAGGTATGTGCTGGCCTACTGGCAGCTGTCAGTGTCACACAGAGCCATCAATCTGCAGCTCCAGCACTGTCAGGCCTGACAGGGCTCTGCCAGCCACAAGCAGTCAGCCGGCTGCACATAAATATGTCACTTTAGGTTAGCATGCCACAATAATGGAAACATAAATTAAAAAAAATGTTTTCTGTGTTTAAAAATACACAAGAAGGGGAAGAAAAAGAAGCTGCAGCCAACTTTGAGAGAAAACGCGCAGATGTGGACGGGCTATCAGGTACAGAGTCAAAACGTGAACTGAATGTCAACAGGTAGCAGTTTCTGAACATCTGAAAGGTTTTTTTTTTTTTGTTTTTCTATGAGGTCTGAAAAATTATACAATGTTTGGAATTTATTCAGGTTTGGATGCATGTGGGAAAAAAACAGAATATGGAAAATATTCATCCTCAGGACCTTTGAGCACATTTTATATGCATTTTTCAATTTATTTTCAACTCTATCAGTCCATACATCCATCTGTTTATCCAACTTACCATCCATCCATCTGTTTATCCAACTTACCATCCATCCATCTGTTTATCCAACTTGCCATCCATCCATCTGTTTATCCAACTTACCATCCATCCATCCATTCATCCAACTTACCATCCATCCACCCACCAAAAAGTAATCCAAAGCTAATTAAAAGTATTAACTTTTGAAGTAAGAGTGTTTTCCAACATGACTGACATTAAAGAGTCACAAATTCAACTCTTCCCTCTTTGACACCCGGCTTGTGTAGTTGGATGTAAACTTCTACGGAAATAAAAATAAAAAAAACATAGGGAATGCAAACCTTGCAGTCTGCTGTCAAGGCCTAACCTAACTAACCTCACCGACTTATTTTTCCCTCGTATTTATAAAATATACGCCTCTCCCAGAGAAGCCCACTTTTTTTTTATTTGTGTAAACATACACCATTTGATCCACAGCGAGTGAAAGTTTGACAAGAAGGATGCATAAATAGAAGCTGCAGGCCCATCATTGTCAACATGCCAACTGCTCTCTGCAGAGAATCATACAGACACGGAGACCTCATTTTAGCAGGCCTTGCTGAGAGGGAAGAATGCCTAAAAAACTTAGCAGCTCAAAAAAAAAAAAAAAAAAAAAGACACACACACTGAGTTTTGGAAGAGGAAAGGAGGACACACATTTCTGCGATAAAAATCAACTGTGGCGACACCATCTTGAGCTGAACTCCATGTCCATTATTACCAGCACATTAATTCACTCACCTTTAGGCTTTATGATTTGTAAGTACAAATATAGATTTTAAGTTGTTTTTATCCAGCTCCCAGATGCTGAATGAACAAAGATAACAGTATAAAAGATGATTATATTGTGCGTTCAGTGGCTATGTTGTAACATATGTCTCCTGCCAAAACACATTTATCATAAACTGTATTCTGTTAAAGCAAACCAATGTATGGATTTGCATTTTTCTCGCGTCTTCAAGCTGTTGCAGTGGATTGAGGCAGCTGGGTGGCCATCCATTCAGCAAAAAAAAAATGATGCAATGAAGACAGAATAAAAAAGATAAGTGCATGTTTAGAGCTTTTGCATGTTTAAGGTTTTAGTGAAACAGCTGACTATATACAGGGGGTCAAAAAAAGTCAGCTGTGTAATGTCTTCCTTCCGAAAGTCTTTTTGTTTTTTCTTTTACACTTTGTCACATGACCACCGCAGAAATCCATGTATTTTATAGGAACATAACACAAGAAATGACTCGTAGTAAATATTTATCAAAAATGAAAGTTGTCTTTTTCAGTACATCATCTGATATTTGAGGCTCGGTTACAGACCTCTGGTTTAGATCAAAGCATATTTATGAATAAGAAAGGCCCAATCAAAGTCCAGCTCTGTTTGTAATTGGAAACTGGAAACAAGACTTAGAAACTGGTGTTCACAGACACACTCCATGGCTCAGCTTTAGCTATTTCACAACTGAGCTACAAGCCGACTAGCTGTTCAAAACTGTTAGAGGCAGCAAAACATTAATCTACAGAATATAATTTGTAAAGAAATGCAAAGCAATGCTTACATTTTTTATCTCTAATAATAAACTATGTACCATTTTTTTCAATTTTTCATTTGTCTAATACACAAAATAACAATAAAATCTGCATTTTTTTTTGCCTACGTTTCTCAGAAAAAGGTCTTCCTGGTACCTGGCTGAAACATAACGGTCTACTGGCATCTACTTATTTGCTGTGGGGTTTTTTTTGTTTTTTTTTTTTGTTCATATGTGCTTCATGCCAGACCACATCGTGCTCAAAAAGCGAACAGGCTTTCCGGGTCTTTTGAGAGCTTAGTGAATTTGACTGGGAATACGCAGATGGCATGCGGGTTCAGACACTCGCCCCAGACGGGGGGGCTGACCCCGGCGATGCCAGCGACCAGAGGGGCCCTGCTTCTCCTCACTCTGATGCCTTTAGCGAAGGAAAGTTCAAGTCCTCCACCACGCTGCAGCTCTGTGCAGAGCCCAGCTTTCTGCTGCTGACATTGTTTCATTTCCTTGCAGTAAAAATATCCTGCTCTTAGCCTGTAATAGACACAGGCATTAGCTTGAGTTCATATTCTGCAGAGCTCAACAGTCACTTGCACTGATCTAAAGTGGTTCTGTAAATGTTGAACAGCTGGTCAGTTCAAGAGAATCCACTTAGAGCAAATTAAAACAAATTGAGTGACTGGGTAATGATTTTATAAGATATTTCATACATTAAGATTTCAAATACTTAACTGAGAGGAGTGTTTAGTGATACACTTCTCTTATCTGTCTGTCACTTTGTTGGAAAAGTGATACAGAGAGAGAGGGCATCATTTCAAGGGTTTTTTTTTTATATTACCACTTTCCTAAAAGCGTTTATCTGCTCTCCCTCTCCTCTTTCCTCCATCCTGGTGCCATCATGGCAAAAAGCTAAATGAATTAAACTCTCATTAAAAATGCATTTCATTGTTAATCATTTGCGAGCAAAGAGGATTAGGTTGCAATTTGTGAAATGACATAAAATCTATCCCTTCTCAAAAATAGACTCTTGAAATTGCGTTAAACAAAATACTATTATCCATCAAGCAGTCCTTTAAGCCACAAAATGAGCAAACCAGTAAATCCCTAAAATAGATAAGACACTGACCTGTGCTTAATTCTCATAACACAATAGGCATATGTTTACCCCATCTGCTCAGCTTATGCATCCAAATACACAGAAAACATAGCTGGCTCTACTCAATTTCTATCAGTCTGATCTCTAAGAGCAGGTGTCTAAACTATCTATTTCAGGATTTCATTTAGCCTTTTAACCCCCAGAATTTAAAATTAATGTCAAAAATGCTCAGCCATCATTAATTAATGGCGAGAGGAATTACACGAGTCTCTTTGTGTTGCCCACTTCTGTGTTTTCCCAAGCCATCGCAGAAAACAAGAGTGATGCTCCGCATGAAATATTGATAGGAAAATCACCTCAAATAACCAACTCTTCGAATATGTGAAGCACATGTAGAATTTTAGAGCAGGCAGGGAGACAAGAGCCGAGAGTCTCAAGCCAAGGTTGTCAAACAGGGAGGAGAGGAGGCGCAGAGAAGAAAGATGCGCAACAAGAAAACACTGAATTTCCTGCTGTATATTTTCCAACCAAACAGCTTAAAAGGAAACCGAGACGCGGGGCGCGAGCGCAAACCACCGAGCTGCTTTAACCTCCACCCTTCTTCTGGCTGGAGCTTACATCCCCATTCATCAGACGCATTAATGGAGCCCTGCATGCGTTTGTCCTTCCTTAGATTGCTTTCCACAAAGAAAAACAACTGAAGGAGCAGAAAAAAAATGTCAAGGTTAAAAAAAAATAATAATAATGCTGGTAACGACCTTGACAGAGGAAAAGCTGGCAGCGCTGAGCACCTCCTGCTTCAGGAAAGTGGATATTCCATATTTTCAAGTTCACCGTTATTAAGACCGGCCAGGACTCTGTGTCGGTGCACAACGCAATCCCTGAAATGTCTGAGGCTGCAGGCAAGGTAGAATTTAGATTTTTGGCCCGCGCAGGGTCGGGCTGAAATTATTTGCTTGATGATCGGGTCTGTTTGGATTTCTGTGGCTCATTTAGTAAGCCTACAATACATTCAGCACAGAGAAGGCCAAACAAGACTCCACAATATAAAGATATATCTACATCAAGGCATAAATAGCTTAGCTTGTTTAGTAAGATAGAAAAAGTTAATTAAACTGCCACAAGCGCAACGCACAACTAAATGTGTACACGGCCCCGCCCTGATGCACTCCTATCAATCACACGTCCCAGATGATTTGCCCTTTACTCATCCTGTGGTAAAAACAAGATGCAGTATCCAAAAACTTACACTGATAATAATTCATCGTATATCTCAACCCAGAATTAGTCCAAAGATGCAGTTCCTTCACAACCAGGTCGCTGCACCTCATTTCATTTTTTTATATCTTCCCCCCCTCACAGATATTTTGGTATTTCAGTTTCAAGGCAAAGTATATGTGATAAATTAACATTGGAAAAAGCTCATTTTTCCTCCTTGTTGCGTTGTTATTGCATCTCATAAACCCGGCCTCATAAATCTGGTCTTTCTACAGGGGTGTGTACACCTAGGAGAGCCACTGTTTACATCTTCCAAACAAAAAGGAAACCGAGGGCGTGAGGACAAACAAATAAGCTGAACACACTCCCACCCGTTTCTGGTTGGAGCTTAAATTCCCACTCCTTTTGTTAGATTGCTTTCCGCATAGAAACAAGTAAAAATACATGAAATTATTCTAGGTTTAATGAAAAAAACATGCAGGTAAGGAACCTTGACAGCAGAAAAGCTTTTCATGCCAAGTGCATCTTGGATTAAGAAAGCGAGTTTTCCATAATTTTCCAAGGTCACCGTCATCGAGACAGTCCAGTAATCTAGGTGTCGGTGCGCAGCACAATCCCCCACTATCTCGGAGGCTGCAGGCAACGCTGCCCATGTCATCCTCATGTTTTATTCATTCTGAATGTCATATTATGGCATTCAGAAACCAAGATCAAAATCTGCTCTGGCAGAAATATTTAATATCGCACCACTTCTCCATCCTTCTCCATCTGGTTTGCCAGACACAGAGGGAGAGGGGGTAGACAGCCTCCTTCAGCTCAGCCATGTTGGATTATTGAAAGTAGAGCTTTCAGGAGGGCTTCGCCCGGGGAAAAAAAAAAAAAAAAAAAAAAAAAGAGCGAGAGAAGAACTGTTGCATGCATCAATTATCTTGGAGAGTCTGTGGCGTGCTGGAGACTGTCTTGTCATATTTCCCAATGAGGCTGGGCGATGGAGAGGTCCTTGGCTAGTTCTGACATTTAGAAACTGGTGTGGAAATCCCAGTCTGTTAGTCAAAAAATATGAATAAATAATGGACAAAAGAGTGCACTGACTGCCTGTAAGGCCTCCCAGGCTTGAAATTCCTTCAGTGTCATTGTCATAACTAGACGCCAGCATCAGCCCCTGTCACTGTGTTCTTTCCTCCACGTGCAAAACAATGGCAGCTCACACTGATCAATACACGACTGGCTGCCGTTGCTGCAGGACAGAGGAGTCATTACAGCGGTTCTGGAAACTGTTATACAATTGTTTTTCCTTGCATTGCTTCCATGTAATGAATGCTAAACTACCAGAGCCATAATGATCATGTTGAGATTGCCATCTACACAGCAATCTCCGGTTTAGTCGATAAAACGGGCCTTAATTTCCTATCTTTACATGGAGCCTGTATTTTCCAGCATGTGTCTCTGTAAGCAAACAAAATATTTGAGTTTATTTGTGACTACTTTCCAATAACTGGAAGCATGACTGAATAAAATGTGTTCAATTTTTAGATGCAGCAGGGGGAGAATGTTTTTTGTCTACAGAATGTGGATAAGTAGAAAATACCAATTCTAGCATAACCTCTCTTTTGTCTGGAAGCACTGACTGAGCTATGGAAGCACTGTAAACATGAGAGTTGAAAATAAACTAAAATAAAGGACTCCCTCCCCCTGCTTCTCTGCATTAGCATCAGCGGCTGAGTTCAAATCCGTGTGCAGCAAATTTCCATGAAACCCTCTCTCCACCCTTGCGCTTCTTGTCCCCTGAACTCCCCGTCTCCGTCTCGGCAGCGGCATGGGGAGAAGCAGCGTACCTTTGTTCATGTCAATCAGCTGCTTCTTCTTCTGCTGACGCTCCTGCTTCTCTCGCTCAGCTTTCTCCTTCGCCAGCTTGGCTCTCTTGATCTTCTCCTCCATCTCCCTCTTCTTGTGGTTCTCCTTCACGGCTTCCTGATGAGGCGCACACACACACACACACACACACACACACAAACAGATAAAATCAGAATGTTGCTCTGCCACCTTCACTCTTTTATCATCTTCTACACTGTATAGTGTACAAGAGCAGCAGAATACCATCAGCAAAGTCTTATTCAGCAACTGGCTTGATAGAGATAAGCGTCTGGAATAAACAATGCATCTGTTGCTGTGTATAGGCCTGTTTTTATTATAAGCCCATCTATCAGTGGGGTTTCTGTACATGATTTCAGTCCCACAGTTGATTTAATGCCAAACCTACATGAATGAGGACATTCACACATAATCAGTGCTTTCAAAAAGTGTTCATAGCCTTTGACTTTTGCACATTTTATCACATAACAAAAACTCCAAAGTATTTCATAGATATCTTATGTGATATTAAAAATAAATAAATTAAAAAAAAAATTCAATATTTCCATGTCAAGTTTTCATGAAAGAATGTTGCTCGTCTTGTCTGCTATTTTAGCAGAATAGCTTGGTTATTTAATATATTTACCAGCAAAAGTTCTACAGCTTTTCTTTTAAGAGTTGTAAAAAGTGTCACTATACAGACACAGAGCATCAAAAACCTTGGTACTCACAATAATTAACTAACATTTAAGCATAGTGCATAAAGTGGCCCAGAAGACCCCCGCCTGTTGACAGCAGATTCTTCTGCCGAATGTGGATAATTCACCTATTCAAGGAATTTTTTGTAAAGAATATCTAACATGTTATAAAGAAAATGCAGCTTCGGAAGCTAAAACACCAGGCGCCATGCTACTCGCCGTGCTATTGGCACCATTCTCATTTTTCTCGACGCCAATAGGCTGCACCCCAAAACCAGAGATAAAAACAAAAAAAAAACAGGTATCAACTTGATAATTATGCTCGCTCAGTTGGTCAATAACATAAAATCCAATTAAAATACATTGAATTTTGTGGCTCTAATGAGACAAAACGTGAAAAGGTTCAAATTGAACGCTTTTGAAAATCTCTGCACGACATAATGCAGGCATAATTCTTCAGACAACACTGGAAAGACATTTAATTGAGAAAGCAACATGTGGCAGTCGTGCAGCGAGCCCAGCATTCAGAAAGCATCCGTCTCCTCCGCGGTCACCAGCTGAAATGCCAGAAAGGAACCCGGGATAGAGAGATAATAAACCGTATGTCTTCAGCACTGTACAAATCTGTCAGTTTGTTCTGCTGCAAGGAGAGAATAAGATGCAACTGTGTGACCTTTGGAGACAACAAAATGCTGTTGCATGCTACGCCTGTGGTGCAGCAGAGGTTCCACGTGTGGGAGGTCATACTTCATGTTTGTAAATCCATACGATTATGTGCGCCAAGGTTGGAGTCCATTTACATCTTTATGCTTCAGCTCATCTGTGGTGTTCCCTCTCCTGTATGCATCCATGTGGGCAGCTTTAAGCGAAGGCATAACCCTCTCTGAGCGGTGATATAATATGTGGCGACAGCAGGCCCCCCATCCACCGCCCCTGTGGTCCTGATGAGTGCGCCGTGTTGGCAGCTAAGACAGAGGGATTATGGGGATTGCGGGAAAGGAACAAGGAAAGAGCGGCTCATCATGCCAGTCAATAGCAGGGCTTTTCTACATGTCCAAGGACACGGGCCCTCGTTGTCACCGCCTCCTTGACGGATGACAAGGGCAGCGATGGCGGCAGAGACAGAGAGAGAAGAGCGAGGTTGAGTAATTGTGATAAAAAAAAAATATATATATATATCAAGTTTAAATCGTGGAAATAAACAAAATGATAGTGAAGAAAGAGAAAGTATTAACATTGTGTGTGTGTTGTGAAATTGTGATTACTTGTCTCAAACTACTGCAAGTCAGCGACGTCTCTCATACCAACCTGTATTTAATCACCACATCAAGGCTGTGTAAATTAGACCACTGCCCCCTGCACAGGATATTGATTGCATCCACTCTGCTGCCGCTTTCAACAGGATGAGAGCTGTGCCTTGTATTGGCAACAAAACGTTTACCTCCCATATTTTCTCCAAATGATGAGCAGCTCTGACAGCCAACCACCAGCAGGGTTCAGCTCATTTCCAAATGAACGTTCCTGAAGTGCTTCAGGATAAAATCGGGGTAGAAATTATGTAGATTGCGTACATAAGTCCTGTCGGCGAAACTTATTCTAAACAAACAATTAATTCTGACTGTAAACATGATTACGATACATAATTTAGTGGCTCTAATCAAACAACACCTCTAATTATCAAAGCCCTGCATCTGTGGTTTATTTTGTGTCCCTTTCCCAGTTCTCTGCGACAGGCTGAAATTTCCTTCGGGCGAAGATCGATTGTATCGCGCTCAGTTTCCCTGACAGCTCCGTTTATTGTGGGAGGACGTCCAAGATTAAAATATTCTAATGAAATGTGACTTGATAAATAAACTGGTTGATTTGACATCTTGCTCAGATATTTCTCAATGGACTCTATTAATGTCCAGTTAGTTCTCTAATGCATTCTGGACTAAACCAAATCATTCGATGTGATTTTAAGAGAAAACATGAAAGGTTTTTCTCTTTGGTATTTGCATTTTGTTGTTTGTCCCTCTAAGAATCTGTTGTGCCAAAGAAAACAGGATGCATGCAGAAAATGGTTCCTCTGGTGAGATCAGGAAAAAATATTGAACTCTGGTTGAGATGCAGAGCTTTGTTGGTGCAAATAAAAAAAAGTTAAGATCAAGAGCTACAATAAGCATGTTAGAACGACCCAGTCAAAGTCCAGATTGAAATTCAATTGAGAATCTGTGGTAGTACTTGACAACTTATGTTCCCAAATCATTATCAACTATTTTGCAAAGAAGATTAGGCAAATATCTTTCTATAGATGTATCGTTTTGGAGTACGTAGAAACATTAGATATTTTCAGACAGTCGGGAAGTCCATTTAGGGTTTGAGGTGGTTTGGGCTTTGGGTCAGGATGTCTCTTTGTTCCCTCCCTTTTTTCCAGCCGTAGTCCATTTTAGCACATGCAGAACTTTCTATGCACACCTTGTGACCTGGAAACCTGGATTTGTGTGAGTGAACGCTACAAAACGTATGACTGCATCCAGCAAAAATGTATTTCCAAGTCCTTCTGGTTATTAGAAAAATGCGTTTATGCCTGCGTCACGATCAAATATTGGCTATGCAAATTTTAACAAATGAGAAATTTAAAATTTTGTAAGAACAAAATGTGTTCCATTTGGCATTCAGCTGTCAGTAATGCTGTCCAAATACTAATATGGCCATGATACCCAGTCTGGCTCTGTTGTCTTTATAATTTCTAAAATGTGTGTATTGTTCCTCCTTGACCTGTGCAACACAACACATCTTCCACAGCATGGTTCCCTTCCCATGCAAATGAGTTTGCCGGTCCAGTGAGGGCGTAATAAGTATTTCCAACTGCTCGGTTGCACCAATGATCTCACACAGAGAGGGTGCCATCGCTATATCTCATTTGAATTTTACAAACACTACAACGCCTGGGCTTTAAGTAGCAAATGTGTTTATTAGCCATCTGCTGCACCGTGTGCCAGGATGTGGGGTGAAATGGCTTCAAGAAGTTATAGGTTACGGACTGAGAGGCTTCTGCTGCTGTATACATGTACTCACATATTGATGGGTGACCTCCAAAGTCGCTGTACAGTAAGTAAATATATTGCATAAACATGATGATGAATCAGCCGAGTCTAAAAGCAGCGATCACGTTTTATATTTTGAAGGAATAAATGAGGATTATATCAAATAAGGTGAAAAATGGCACCTACAAATATTAAAAACCTTCTCAGAAACGTTCTATCCTGTTACTCTATGGACCCACTGAGTGATTTGGTCATATTAGAAAGTCACTCCATTAACAAGGAAAACTGTTGGCTCATCCCAGCCCATCTGCTGTGCTTTGATAACTCATTAATGAAAAAGAAGAACTCCCCATCCTCATGCTCCTGGTCAGGATTACATATAACACTCCCTGCTATTGCATTTCACCCATACTCTATTTCAAAGTATGGCAGTAGCATTAAATTAACAAATTGTTGAACTCCTCAAATCCTGGCTCAAATGATATTTTATTGGGCTCAAAAAAAAAAAAAAAAGAAAAAAACGAGGTGAGGGAGAGACGGAGAATGAAACAGAAGGAAAATAGAGTTAATGGATTCTCTTATCAGTTACATTCAGTTCTGTGAGAACTGTCTGTCAATGCGTTTGCTCAAATGCCTTATGTCGGTCGGGTGCATTAAGCTTCCGCTTTTTAGTAAAAGCAATTTAGGGTGACTGTACTGCAAGGGAATTCTTTAATACAGCAGATGCTTTGTGCTGTGAATGCGCTACAAAGGGCGGCGCGACAGAGAAGGAACTTGGCGAGGATGTTTTGTCCGAGTCAAACAACTTCATATCTCCGCATTTTACAAAGAATAATAAACAAATGTCAGCGGCGCACCAGGCGTTCCAAGAGGCTAAATCCAGCTAGCATGTTCACTGACAACAAGTCATCACGTTTATTTGATTTGCCATTTGTCACAATCAAGAAGGAGTCGACGCGAGTCAAAGATGAATAAAGCATAAGACCTTTTTTTGGAGGAAGAAATGAGTTAGCCTAGTTGTTTCACAGGGTAAGAAAAATAAAAACAACATTCAAATAGGAACAACCATTGATTCCTTGCGCTCTGGAAGCAGATGGGATTAGCCTTTCTGTCAGTAAAGCTGAAGCGCCAAAAACTATAAATAATATCTGAGGAATGTGGTGATTAAAGGATTGTTTTTGTATGAATATATTAACTACACTATATCCCACTTACTTCTATCCCCTTAACCATAGCAGGAAATCGGTAATAAAATATTCATATCCAGCTATTTGCTTGAGAGAATAATTTATTTTCTTGGGTGGATGCCTCTTTTACAGATATGCAACTCTGGAATCCTTCAGGGAGTGCTGCGCTGCGCGCTCGTGCACTTTGATCAGAGAGAATGGGAAGCGGGTTTCACACGAGGATCAGAGTCAGAAAACGAGAGGGATTCAGACAAGGGGACCTTTCCATTTACATTAACGGGCTGCGAGGAGAAAAAGAGAACACCGTCTGGACAGGATGTCATCATCCTGTCACCTGGAGCTTTAGGGGAGGTGCCAGGTGGGAAAGAGAGATGGCAGAGAGGCAAAGACAGGTAAATACATGTTTAGAAGACTGCTGAGAAAAACAGGGGATTTTTACTTTACTTTTCATATGGCTTCTATCATTACTAATTCAATTTGCACCTGGTTGATGCGTCAATGAACTATTAATTTTTCTCCATGTTCAAATGAATGCATCTCAATGAACTTGTTTAAAGCCAATTTTAACAAAATGTCTAATGTTGAGCAAAGGAACATATAAAATGCAATAATGCACCACTGACTGCATTCTGACTGAAAACACCTCCAGTTATAACTTTTAGCAAATGAACAAATATAAACTTAACTTTCATGCGATTTTGGGATAATTATCCGGTTTAAACGGCTGGTTTTGTCCAAGTTTCATTTCAGGAACAACCCAAGAATCACCATAGCTGATTGACCACAAATATCACTGTCCACAGCGAAGAAACTTCAACATCAACTTGAACTGAGAAAGTGCTGAAAGGAGTTAAATAAATATTCTTGTGCCTGTTTTTTTTTTATTATCAGCTCAAAAATAAACTGCATGTGCAAGATTTTATTCAGATGAATGAAACAGACATTTTTAGAAGGAGATTGTAGATCAAAAGCATGTCAAGGGTCTTTTATGAGTGTGTTATTAAAAGACAGGCAAAGCATTTTCTATTTTTTGGGGGTTATTGTGGGATGGCTTTTTAATCGTTTTTAGTCTAAGTTCAGGAACAACAGTGGGATTTGGGTCATTCTGTCTTCTGAAGTACTTGCTGGATGACTCAAAGGGGGCAGCCGAGTTGTTTGATGTTTGTGGCTCAATTTAAATTGAGATTAACACAGAAAGCAGTTTAATAAATGAGGAATATTTTCTGGTGCACCTAACTTTTTGTTATTTTGTCGAAACTCTTGCGGTAAAAGATTTTTTTAAAAAGTATCTACCTGCGTCAGCCAGAGAAAGGCCAGATTTGTTTTGTTGCAGAACTGTTGTCGAGGGCAGCAGAAAATCATTCATAGGGCCGCAAGCGGCCCCAAGACCGCACTCTGGTCAACATCAGAGTCTGTCTGGAATGCTTCACTTCTAGAGTAAATGTGTTCTTAATTCAAATTTTAAGCGAATTTGAAACAATTATAAAGCTTTTTTCCCAGCCATAAAAGCAGTTTTTTTCCCCTTGATATCAGGAAAATCATTAAATTTAACGTTAGCTTAAATGTTTTAATATAACAAATCTGTGCTAGAGCCAACAGCAGCAAACGCTTCTCCAATCGGTTAGCTTTGCGTACATCTCTGAGTCCATTGTGAACATTAATAAAATCTTAAACAAATTCAAAGTCTTTAGAATTTTTGCTATTTTAAAAGATCAGCACATAAAATAATCTTTGAAATGTTCGGGACATTACAACACTTCTGTGAGAGAAGAGAGAAGAATAGATTAATGAAAAATGACCCAATTTGACTGAATCAAAAGTAAATAAAATGCAAAAGAAAAAAAACACAAAAAGACTGAAGTTGCTTTTGTGTCCGCCGGCAGCGGAACATTAGTCGGCTTTTACAAGAAACAGAAAAGTGACACTATTCAAAACCTCAGAGTCTGTTATAGCACTGGAAAACTATCTGCAAACAAAAAGGTATTTGATACAGGAAAAATGGCATATGGAAGGAAATGACAGCAGGTGGGCCTTGTTACATTCTTCCTGAGCACATTCAGAGAACTTACAAGAACCATATTGGAAATATAAAGTCTGAATACAAAGTGTGGCACTGTTTTGGACTGAAAACCTTCCTGTATTTTGAAGTTGGCAAGCTGAAATGATTGTTTCCCAAGTGAAAGAAAAAAACAAACATTGATGACTTCTGGAATTGCAGAGGGACAAAATCACCTTCAACGCTCTATTTCAGACTTAAGTTATGGTCTGTCAAGTATGACAAAAATAACAAAGGAGATGAAATGTTGATGCCTTAAAGTAATCTTAATTTGTAAGAAAAGCTCTTAGTTATTACACCAGGGTCAGGACATTTTGAGAAGGAAGGCTTTACTACAAACGAGAGGTGAACACTACTGACAAAAAAAAGTGAAATCTTCAATCTGTCTTAGCTATGTCATTTGTTTTCAGCATTTCCTTTATAAAAATCATTAAAAAAAGGCCATAATATGTAAACGAATGCTAATTTATTTCAGTAGTTTAGTTCAGAAGAAGATTCCCTACACATGCAGTGACACTTCAAGTTTTTATTTCTGCAGTTCACACCCTTCAGTCTGGGATTTATATATCAGAGTGTGTTTATGAGAGTCACATCCTGAAATGAATTAGAGACAAAAAAAAATTAAGCTCTCCATCCTATTCTAATTTACTGGGATGCTCCTCTAATTGTAATCCCAATTTAACATTCAGTTTCAATGAGAACATTGTAATTTTTCACCATCTGTGGGGTCCTGCTGCAAAGTTTGATGAAAATGTGAGCATGTGCAACCAGCTCTCATTTCACTAACACCCAATGTGTGCAAGCAAGCGAGTGCAAAGGCATGTGCATGTGTGGGTGGTGGCCGCTGTTGGGCGCCGTGTGTCTGCTTTCTAGGAACCGAGTACATGTGCCGTCGTTTTAAACTCACCATGAAGAGGAAGCGGAAGTTGGCCAGCTCTCCGAAGAAATCCTCCACGCTGACTGAGTGGGGGTCGAATGCGAAGTAGCTGCCGATGCTCTCGTACAGCTTCTGCATGTTCTTGTGCATGGTGGACAGCTTCTCGTACTGCTCCCGAGAATGTTTGGAGAAGCCGTGAAAAAAGGGGGAGTCAAGGAAAACGGAAAACGCAACGCCTCAAACACAGACATTAAAATGCTACAGTAACCAGCAATAGCAGGGAAATGTCACACACATGTTGCCGTACAGTATTTTTAAGACCCACCTATGTCAAGGTCAGCAGAAGAAAGAAAAACAAAATGGATAAAGGAGGGTCTTCATCTCACTCTGGAGTCAATGACAAGGAGAGCTAATAGCAGCAGCCCTGAAGTAATGGAAAGGTGCTTTGTAGGCAGCAGCATGACACAGATGGTTGCTGGAAAAGCTGATTGCAGTCATTGTTCTATTGTTTCGCACAACAACAGTGGGGTCAGGTTGTTTTGAACCTCACAGCTCACGTTGCACTGTGTAATTTACTGAACAGGCGGAGGACTTTTCTCCCGGTGAATGAGTATTGACAGCCGGCATCAGTTAAACATTATCACAGCAGCCATTGACCTCATGGAGACTGCACTGGGGCACTACAAGACTCCCACCCTGAGCGGGATGAGAGCGATGCGGTGCAGATTTAGGTGAACACACATGTAGAGGACACAAACGTGGAAAAAAGGAGACCTTGAGCAGGAATTTCATTAATACACTCTGGTCATCTTGAAATTACAGCTTTTTACTCATTTTAGGCCGATAGTTGTTATTGGTGCTGGCTATATTTGTCGTGAAGGATGGATATGAAACTCACACACACGCAAGGACGAAAAAAAAAAAAGACAGCATAACTTCATAAACAACCACGTGCATCAAGAGCAAAACTCATCCTGCCTCCACAATCATCAAACCTAAGTGAGGTGAACAGCTAAGAGCACTTATAACCATAGAGTGCACACGTACAGTAGCACAGTGCAGCTCAGCTGGTGGACAGTCTGCAGGCACACGATGCTAGAGACAGCAAAGTGTGATGATAAAATATTTTTATGTCTTTTTTGTTGACACATAGATCAGTACGATATTCAGCTGTTTTTTAAAAACACGACCGATAGACCAGGGGACGAAGTAAGAACGTGGGGAGCAATACGGGATATTTACGGCACCTTTGTTCTCCCACAAAGAAACTCATCTACCAGCCATGTACCGCCACGATGCGCTCCGCCACCCGTTTGTTCACACCGGGATGATATTAAATTTATTGTGCGGTTCTTCCGTAAAGCTACACTTATACTGTAACCATCAACTACTCCGCCGCCCGCCGTGTTCAGGCTATCTGCTCACCTGTATAAATACTCCTGCAGCGCTTCCAACCAGCAGCTCCCGGAGGAGAAAGGCTGCCGTACGCCAGGCATTTTAAGGATGCTTATTGGTCCCCCAAAAACGATGAAAATCCCCACGGGCCGAACTTGAAAATTGGACGTTATGTCTGTGCAACGCAAATAATGTTCCGGCCGGAAGTGTGTGTTACCGTGAGTCAAACAATGACTGGGGCAGCAGCCTACTATATAATATACTCGGGAAACACTTCTTTATTATTACATATTTGTAGAATACGGAACAAATCGCGTCCCGTATTGGATCAGTATGGGACGCTACATTTAACAGCCAATTACGAAACGGTTCCGTATTTTACGGGACGGCTGGCAACCCTCAGTTAGAGGTTATTTCTAAGGCTTCTCTGAAACGATTTAGCTGTGAAAGTTATCCACAGAATAAGAAGACAATATTAGAGTGGTGAACTAACAGGATTAACCAATCAACCAAAATTACTCCAACTCTTCAATATCAGATGAGAATTTGAGAAAAGTGAAGTTTATGAATGAGATGTAATCCATACGATTTTAAAGTGTATTTTTAGTATTACATTTCTGGTGGAGTATTTTTCCTCTCGGTTGTCTCGTTTTTTCCTTAAATCAGAAAAAAAAAAACATGTAATTTATATCAAAGCGATAAGCTTTTGGTTCTGCTTACAATTTCAATCTATTATGTGTGTAACTACTGAATTTAATTTTACTAATTTAAATTGACCTATACATTGGAATACAGATGGAAAATATCTATAAGGCAAAACAAGGTTTCAATTGGGGCAGGTAAAGTGCAATACCTGCAGCGCCACCTGATGACAGGAAGTATAAAATCAGTCTCTGTATTTGTCTATTTGGAGTGTTAGTGTTCATGCCAGAGGAACTGCTGGATGCACATGCAAAATAAAAGACTGCAAAGTAAAGAGCAACAATGAAAATTAAAGATTAATAATATAAAATTCATCTAATTAAATGTGTTTGTCTTTCTTATGTGTTTCCCACTGCAATCCACTCTAAATTGATGCTGTTGCAGTCAACCGATTATTAAAGGCCATCATTTGACAACACTTCACTGCTTGCTTGTGTTACTCCTACGAAGGTCCCAGTTTCTGAGTCTGGGTGCAGTTATAGGCAATTAGTGTTCTTTTACAGTCGCCTTGGCAACATCCATGGTCAGGTGGGACAGCATGTGGCCTGCGATTACCAGGGCCAAACAGTTATCAAGACATTGTTCTTTTTGAACAGTCTGCTATTATTGTGTGGAGGCCACGCAGCTTTCCAACATGTCCTGCTTTGCTAGTTTATAATCAATGCCGTATTTGGAATTTTTCTGTTTCCCCAGCTAAAAACTCACCAATGATGTCATGAGCAAAACATATTACATTGATCCAAAACCACACAATTGCAGAAGTGTTTTTTGGAGTTTTGCGCATGTGGAGGAGGAGGAGGTGTAGATTTGTTGAATTTTTTTTGTAAGGTCACACTGGGACAGTCAGAACATTGGGCAGCGAATGGACTTATTCTTCCGTCTCTCTGTATCCATGTCTGCCTGGACGCGATTTACCCCCATTGCTCCTGTCAGACCTCTGTTATCTCTTCCTTTGTACACCTCCCTCAATCTCCCCTTCTTTTCTAGAGAGCCCCAGCGGATGGATGTGAAAGTAAAACTTTGCCAAAGTAACATATCTTTTCAACATCAAAAGGACTCTTGAGTTTTGCAGAACTGGAGTTGTGATTTTTTTATGGGTAAGTAGAAAAATAACTTTTTAGAATCTAATATGCAGCTAGCGCATCATAGAAATATACAGCCTTTTTAAAAAATAAACTTTGCTAAATTAGGTTAGAATGAAAAAAATAAATACAAATTGTTTAAAATCATATGAAAAAGGGGGTGCAGAAAATGATCATCATAATCATGTCAAGAAATCAAAGGAATAAAAAAAGCACACCACTATAATGTTTCCATTACATGTTTACAATATGTTTATCACTCCTTTAGTTTTTTTGGGGGGGAGGGGGGAGTAAATGTAAAAAAAAAAAAAAAAAAAAAAAAAAAAAAACATACGAAAAACTAAAAATTAAAAAAGGGCACCATTGTTTTAAAAA